TAGTGGATTTAAAAACAATGGTAAAGTAGTTAGTCACAATGATCTGAAGGGCTTATCATCGATAATGCTTGATGGGTTACTCTGTGTTGGAGGCCGACTAAGCTACTCAGATTTCTCAAATGCCTTTAAACATCCAATAATATTGCCCAGTCGACACTTAGTGACAGAAATGATAATTAGACATTATCATAAGGAACAAGGGCACACAGGAACGTCACAAGTACTGGCCACGATTCGAAAAAGGTATTGGATAATAAAAGGAACCAGCACAGTTAAGAGAGTGATAGGAAAGTGTGTGACATGCCGGCGGTACACGATGGTTACAGGGCAACAATTGATGGCACCACTTCCAGCTTGTAGAGTGCAACAAGGATGGTATAGCTTCTCAGCCGTGGGAATAGACTACTCTGGACCTCTTTTTGTCAAAAGAGGAAGATCATTAGAAAAAAGATATGGATGTGTGTTTACTTGCTTGCAAACCCGAGCAGTACATATTGAAATGACACACATTTTGAATACTGATTCGTTTATAATGGCCTTATTACGTTTTATTGGAAGAAGAGGGGAACCTGCCGAAATTTACAGTGACAATGGGTCATATTTCGTGGGTACGGTCTCTGAATTAAGGAGATTTGTGTAACAGTTGAATCAACAGAAAATAGACAAAGAACTGTCAGCCAGACAAATTCAGTGGCATTTTAACCCGCCCTCATCCAGCCACAGGGGTGGAGTTTGGGAAAGGATGATTAGGTCCATACGCCGGCTGTTATTGTTGATAACTAGAGAGCAGACTCTAACCGATGAGACTTTAAACACTTATTTGATCGAGATTGAAAGGATATTGAACGATCGACCCTTAACTCCGGTCGTTCAAGATGCTAATGATAAACTAGCCTTGTCGCCAAATAGTTTGTTATTATTGAGAGAATGTGACGGAATAGTCGAAGAAGGTAGCATCAGAGATAAATATGACAAACGTTGGAAACAGATTAATCATCTTGTTAATGTGTTTTGGAAAAGGTGGTTAAGAGAGTATTTACCGTCCGTACAAAAACGTCAAAAGTGGTTAGTTGAACACCGCAATTTTCAGAAAGGGGATGTAGTGATCGTAGCTTCGGACATATCGACTCGTGGAAAATGGCCCTTAGGCGTAGTTGAAGATTGTGAAATAGACGACGACGGAAGAGTTAGAACAGTGGTTGTTCGTACGAACGGTGGATTAGTCAGGAGAGATATACGTAGATTATGCCTCCTTGAAGGCTCGAATTAGTTCCTCGTGTTATTAATGTAGTTAGGTCGAGTAGGCGTACTGTTGTAAGTCCTACTCGTTCCTATGGTGTGACATGTTATATAATGAACCATGACCGTAGGCGTCAAGGTAGCTTGTGTGGTATGGAGGGATTATGGGGGCCGGTGTAAGATCCATTTTGAATGTGTTGTGTGTTGGTGAAAATCCCTCCATGTATATACTTGTACTTTATTCCTATTGATCACATTAGTTGTACATTGTTGTATTTTGATTACATTTGAATTGTTAATATTTGTATTTTTGTTATAGTTTTTGCTTTTATTACGCATTCACTAAGTTTGTGTTTCTTCCTGAACTGCATCTGCGTTGTTTTACTTGACACTTGTTCTTGGCGGTAGCCATATTGATTTGTTCCTCCTGTTGTGTGTGATCTATCCAGTCAGGATAGAATAACGTTCATTTGTTGTGATTGGAAATTTTTCCTCATCTTCTATCAACTTCTTTATTGTAATTTAGATTTAATTGATTGAACAATCATTGGTTGAATAGCCGGGTGATAATATTTGTTTAGGTAATGATTTACATTAAATTTATTATGAATTATAGAACCGCTAGTTACCCGATTACTTGTTCTGATTTCGACGGGAAGGCTATTCTTCAACATCCAAACCGTAGTTTGGATCCTACAAGAACTAGTGAAGTCCTAATCATTCAGCCCCATATAACTTGCTATCGTACAAAATAAGAAAGTGAATGAACACTTGAACAATACTGTCTTGGCATATGCTTAGTTGTTTGGGGTCAACTCTAAACCAACCAACCTAAGCTGTTACACTTCCACTGGGGTATGGAGGTATTCATAACCCAGCCGATCGCCAGAAGAAAGAGAAACGAGGGAGTGAGCAGCCTTGCATGACACCAGTCTTCACTTGGACTGCGTCTATCAGCTGTCTTCCGCGCGTAACCGAATTCGAGGAAGGTCACAATCAACGGAAGAATATATGTATTTTGATACAGTTAAACAAACAGGTACAGCAAAACAATCCCCGGTACAATTGGTTATAATAGTAATTGTTTCCATTACACCAATCGCGTTCTCTTGATAAAAGTAGGTCACTACAATATCTTCATACCCGGTGTTGTCCGTTCTGACTTTGGCGTTTAGGTATCCCATCACGATGGTCAAGTACCTTCCTGAGCACTTTGCTGACTGATTTCAGCCTTTTATAAAACTGGGTTTCGTCGTCGTCGTCGCTATCATTGGTGAGTGCATAACATTGGATAACATTCATTGTGATTCCCGTCTCTGCTTTAATGATCCTGGATCCATGAGATTCCGATCCTATAAATGCTTTACGTGCTTCTTTGGATAACATCAAAGCAAGTCCCTGAGCGTGGGGGGAAGTTTCTTCTTCGTAGCCTGAGCACAGCAACATCTCTTCCAAATCTCTTGTTTTCTGTCCTGTTTGGCTCCAATGGGTTTCATTTATTCTGAGCACCGTCATGTTGTATCTCTTCATTTACATTGCTGTCTGACTGATACTCCCGGTCTCCCATATTACCTTAGCATTCCCTGTATCTATATTGATTGCTACACTGTTTGTTAGAATGGGCATTGTCCTCGTGGCTTCCGAAGAATCTCAGCTGTCATAATTCTCCCCTGAGCTCGGAGGGCACAGTTTAGATGGTTTAATTTGTTTCATTTGGTCAGCTTTTTTGGCGAGGCTGTTTTTACGGGGTGGAGATGCTGACCACATACCCAACCCTCCTCGTTTACTCGGCATGAGGACAGTCATTAAACCTTGAAAAGCTAATAGAGAGGTTACAAGGAGCTGTAACGGCAAATAAATCCATGGGACAAACAGTTCTTCATGTCCTTCACGTTAATTCTGAAGTCATTCGCGTTACTCGACACACCCTAACTGATGACGCCTGGTCACTCGTCCGTGACAGATCACGAGTAGTTATACCGTGATACTCGACTCTTGGAAGTACTAATCAGCTTAAAACAAACGTTTTTCGACATATAGACAACTTCTCAAATGTAACTTTGAACTCCTTCACTTCTGACTTCTCAGTTGACTGGGCTGGTATTCTTTATTATAAAGGTGTTACGTGTGATAGAGTTGTCAAACTATGAATATTTGTGGTATCTTTAATACTTAGGTTCCTACCTGGAACCACCAGTGATTTCAAAGCTCGTTAAGTGATAGCTTTTTCATCTCCTCCCACAACCATTCGAACCATTTAAACAAGGTCTGAGAGACCAGTAGCTCTATCTAAATAGATGTTTTGACCTTGATCAGTCAGCTCTTGATTTGACTCTCTGCCTTGCAATGGGTTAAAACTATCTGCTTCATTCAGCTTCATTCTCAAGATTATCTTAATCTGAAGCTTTTGTTATTTGTCACTTGCTATTTATTGCTTTCTGTAGTAAATATAAGTGCATTTTGTACGCTTGCTTGCTCACCGATTCACCTTTTCTGTTGTGCTTCTCATATGTAGTCATATTCACAGTACTCTGCATGCTCCTCTGGTACACAGAGTACCTTGTACTTTGTGCTACTGGGAAGTCGAAATACAACTTTCCTTGCTTCTAAAATTTTTTAAACTCTCGAAGTGATTTTGGGTATACGAATTTGTATGTAACCCATACGAAAATACCCAAGCTGCCAACTTTGGGGAAATTTCTGGGAAATCTTCAAAGTGAAATAGCCTTCCACAAAGTTTGGGGAAGTTCTGGGAAATTTTGGGGTTTTCGTCTCATTTCCCCAAAATTTACTATAGCGGCTTTCCCAAAATTTCCCCCAAATGGACCAAATTTTCCCCAAAGTTGGCGGCTTGGGTATAGGTGTCTTTATTTCATCTTTCTGTAGGTCATGTAAATCCATGTCAGCTGAATATACGAAGTGTCTCTAGAATAACTTTACATCAATACTGCTAGACCTTCGTGTTCTTCTTTAGCGTATTATTTTATGTGTAGGTGTTTCAAACTATCCGGTAGTAGCGGCTTATAAGGCACTGTTATTATTATAAAGGACTTTGGATTAAAAACTAGCCTTCTCAAGTCAGGAATTGTTAGCTAACTCGGTAACCCAGGTAGTTATCTTACGTTGTCAACTAAGAATCTACGGAGTCATGTTTCCAGATGAGTAGCGAGCAAAACACGCTCCTGATTCACAATGGATATCTTTTTTTGATCCTCAGTTTTTACTCGGTTCATATCGTTTGGCTCCACAGTTATCGATTGGTCAGTTTCTGAGTCATTAATGAGATCAAAATGTTTCTTAAAATATTTTGCCTTGACTTAATCCCAATTTCTTCGAAGCACTTCGGTAAGATGCATCGAGTTATATTTTATATGAAGTTAGAAGTTGCAATTTAAACTATTTACTGGAAACAATGTCACAAAATCTAGCGAAAATGATTCGCAGGTGTAGTTTATTTAACCAGAATATCTATCCCACCTTATTTTGTAAGAAATTCGTATTTGAATGTAACGCCTACGAATGCAATTTATTAATGGTACTATTGTTATTATTGAAAACTATTTGCTGTAATATGCTATATTTTACAATATTCTGTGGATAGTTTTAGTGATCTATGTGGTCCATGCTGAAAGTCTAACGTTTATTTTTGTACTTTTTCTAAAAACAACCTGTATTCTTATGTTCCAGGACTATCATTTTGGTGGTCTCATGAACTAACTATCCAAATCACTTAGCATTGATCCTATGACACCCATCAACTGATGACAAACCAAGTTGTTTTGAAGTATGAAAAGCTAGAGAAAATTGGAGAAGGTGTGTACATGTTGTTTTAATGATGTTTGTATTACCTTCTAGGTACATATGGTAAAGTCTATAAAGCGAGGAACCGAGAGACACATGAAATTGTTGCACTTAAACGTGTTCGACTAGAAAATGACGATGAAGGTATTCCTAGTTCAGCTTTTCGAGAAATATGTCTCTTAAAAGAACTTAAACATAAAAACATTGTCAGGTGTTTTATTTAGTTTATCAAGTAATGAAATTTTTAGACTTTTTGACGTCCTGTTAAGCGAGTCAAGGCTAACAATTGTATTTGAATATTGTGATCAGGATTTGAAGAAATACTTCGACAGTTGTAATGGTGATATAGATCAGAATACTGTAAAGGTATCAAATAAATTGATGTACATTTTAGATTTTGATTGTTTAAACATTGATCGGAATTTTGTTATTAGCTAACATAGGATTCAGCTCTGAGTAAAGACAGATCGTCTTCATTATACATGACCGCCATATATATTGTGCAGGTTTTGGTGATGTCACTAACAAAACATACTTAGACAGTAGTCCATTATTTTATCTCTTAATTTCTGAAGACGGCATAGGAAAGTAATAAAGAAGTAAAATAATGGAAAATCTAATAGGATACGCAACTGAAAAGAGATTAGAATTTCCGTTTCATAAAGACAATTTTTTCAATTGTAACGGGTAGTAATTACTTTCTGACTTGCTTTTTGAATAAAGCGATAGAGAAACCTTTTAAATTATGGTCATATTCTTATGAAGAGTTATTGAGTTTACTTTTCGTCTCATTGTCTAGATAATGGATAAAGCAGTAAATTTCATACGGTCTTTTGTCTTACTCCACACTTAAGATCCTAATCTTAGGTTTATTTCCTCGCTAAGCATTCCACTAAGTTATGCGGCGATAATTCTTCATGTGCTTTGTGATTTTCTCACTTGATTTCCTTCATTTTATAAAATTCCGGACACAGATAGTTGATCAGTCTCAGAAACTCGTCATATGTCTCATATATCAATTTCAAATTCACGAGAAGTCATGGTGTATATTGTTTTGTCAATCGTCTGTCGGCGATTGTACTGTTTTAAAGAATAGTGGATCTTCCTGTTGTAATTTCTCTTATTAGGGCCCAGCTATTTCTATCACTTATTATTCTGGGACACCAATTCACTCGACAAGTCCCCAAACCAGAACACGGTTGAACAGGAACGAAATTATATTCCAAATAACAAGGGTAGATGGAAGTAAGAAGCACAATACGAAAAGCTTTAGCATATTTATAGTTTTTACATGAGAATATTCTAGAATCTTCTCTAAGCGTGCACCAACACAATCCTGCACGGAACGTGCTTTAATCCAATTTATTCCCCGCTAACACTATTAATGTATAGAGATGATATATTGTCAGTCCTTACATAAATGTACCTCAGGTTATTATATATGATTATACATTTAGTTGCTGAGTTGTAATTCATTAATATTTAAGCTGATTATTTACCGACTATTGTCAAGAAATCATAATTTTTAATTAGGGGCTAAACTTAATGCTAGTGTTTGGTCATATAGACTAAAAGACCATGAATTTGTTGTTGTGAATACAGACTCGTTGAATACCCTCAGTGTATGGGTACTGTGATAGGAATATTCTGGCTTTTATTTCTTAGATACCTTACCAGACCTGCAAATGCATCAGTAAGGTATTAATGAATTACTAATGAATATATATATTTTTTGTTATATCCCAATGAGTAGAAAAATTGTATTTCTGACGTTTCGTAGCTTAATGTAAGCTACTTCTTTAGAGTAAATAAAACTTATTTGAAGCTATCAAGTCTAACCTTGGTATTATTACATACAAACTCATTGATGGGTTATGTCTTAACTACTTCACAACTAGAACTCAGAGTAGTTTGTCGGAATAAATGGTCAAGCATTTAGATGTTTTAAGCTATCCAACTGGTAATAATAAACCACGGATTAAATCCGTGTCGAAAACAAATCTTTTATATTCGATTTTAAGAAAATGCTCGAAAAAGTATCTTAGAATCTTTGTTTCACATTTTTTAGCTTTTCATGTTCCAACTTCTACGTGGTCTTCAGTTTTGTCACAGTCACAACGTTTTACACCGAGACTTGAAGCCACAAAATCTACTGATCAATGATAATGGAGAGTTAAAGTTGGCTGATTTCGGTCTGGCTCGCGCATACGGAATACCCGTGCGACAATACTCAGCAGAAGTCAGTTTTCTTGTCTACTTTAAAAAATATTTTTCAGTAGTTCTAACAAAGGACAAATTAAATTCACAATATTACCGTGTTTTATTTATAATTTGACCTTTTGGATACTATTTCTTTGATACATACTTCACGTCATGACTTTCCATGGTTTCTAGTATTGGGGTATGCAGTCATCCTTGTTTCCCTTTTACAATAAAATATAGACATTTTCTGTATGATAGCGGATTCATTTAAGTATTCTATACATTCGCATTACGTCATATAGCTAGTTAGACTCTTGATTCACAGTTCATCCGAACAATAAAGTATGTTTCATAAGTTATGTGTTTGTCTTTAGGCTTGAATACCAAAACTTAGTGCAAAAGAAGTCCAGCTGTAACCATGTTACAAGTATATAGGTCAATACAAAAATAAGCTTTATTTATCTAAGATATTGCGTATCCTAGTTCTACTTTCCATGAGATGTTTCATTGTAAGAGTATCCTGCCAAATGACAACGTATTGCTTAATACGTCAAGATAAATGGTAAAAGATAGTCACATTTCTCCAAATAACTTTTTCCTCTCCAGAATTCTTACGATAGCATAGACGATTAAAGAAGCAGTGCTTTTATACCGTCAGCTCACTTAACTACTATGTGCTCTCCTCCGGTTACTTCTGTTTAAGGACTGATTATCTTCTTTAGACAGTTGGCAACCATATTCAGATCAAGATTGGGTTATTAAGTAACTCATTTTCTTTACCTTGTCCTTAAAATACATTTAGTTTATACAGTATTTCCTTTGAGATACTAGTAGTACTCCTAAGACAGGAGTATCCAAATACTGACAACTCGTGATTTTCTTTGAGTAACATGACGAAACCAAGCATATCTACATTGTATACTTCACCCTCATTTAGTATTTTTCGTTTTTGAATTACATGGACAGTGTGTCACTTATATGGTCATCTAGGTGGACACAATCATCCACTTCAGTAAAGCAAATGTCATATTCAATCAATCCATCACACTGTCAAGGTAAATGTGTATGGAAACAGCTACTGGTCATTTTACACCTCAAAGACTCGAAATAACTGCTAGCATCTCTTGTTTTTCACTTCATATTTTTTATAGACTGTATCTGTACGGTTAGTTGATCTAGAAAAAAATTATTTTTTGAATTATATCTTCACTTATACCAAGCATAGCAAAGTTGGATCTTCTGATTTCTGCGGCTAGCAGAATGACCTCTCCGATCTCTCACATTATTTGAATATTCCAGGTCCTTATTTGTATTGCTCACGTCTATCAATTATGGGGTGAGTATACTGCGCGGCAATTCGTTCTGTTCTAATTTACGGATGCGAAACATGGCCACTAAGAGTCGAAGATACCTGTAAGCTACTAGTATTTGACGACAGATGCCTTAGAACTATTGCTGGCATCTGCTGGGATCACGGGTAAGTAATAGTGAGGTTAGACACAGAGTATTAGGGAATGATGGTAAATCAGTTGATGAGGTTGTAAATGTTCATCGACTGAGATGATTGGGCCACGTGTTACGTATGCGTGAACACCGATTACCACGATGTGCAATGCCAACCAGTGTTGGAGATGGTTGGAAGAAAGTTAGGGGCGGCCAAACCAAAACGTGGCATCAGTGCTTGAAGTCACTAACTTGTGGTCTGTGCCATGTTGGTAGATGCAGACTAATTAGTTGGGGTTCGCGTGACTATCGTAACCAATGGTTGGAGACTCTTGGTGATATGGCTCAGAATCGATCACAATGGCGTAGGTGTATACACTTTTTGCCTTCTCTTAAACCGTGAGATTAAAAGTACGATGTATATTTCTTTCCATGAACTAATTCTTTCTTCCTTCATCATACCCTTATATGAAATTTTTCACTACCATTAAAGTAACTGCTTCTATGAATTTGGTGTTCATCTTGTTGTGTCGACCTTACACCAAACTCTCCTTTACTTGGGTTTCGGACCAGCGGTTTCTCCAGAGGAGCTCCAGTAGGAGTTGCTTTGGATTTACTGGCTAATAAATGATTAAGCCTAACATTTCGAGATTGTATTTGGTCCTCATATTTCCCTATAATTTCTTTTATATACGTTGAAACTTAATTTGCTTGTTTTAAAACCTTCTAGGACCATAGCCTTAGCTTATTTCAGTGATTTCATTGGTGTCCCATTCTTCTTTTAGCGTAAATGAGTCATGGAAGTTAGTTGCTATTTTTTCATTAAGATAACTTTCCTTTGATTTTTTATTTTTTTCCGATAATAAATTATCTAGTTAACTTTTGTGTCCATTTTCGTTAATTAACTGTTGATTTAGGAGTGTTTTATTCTCGAATACTTTGGGGTTATTTTTAGTTACGCGACCTTTTTTTACTGCTTTCTAATCACTTCATGTGCAGATATGTTATAATTATTGCAGAAAGTTTATTCTTGGACTAACAGTTATCATTACTTTCTTCGAAGTTTTAATTTTAATTGTTTTATCCCATTTTTCTTCATGTCAGAAAAGTCCTGTGATACTTGAGAATAAATTCTTTTCAGTTCCACTACGTGTTTCTGTAAATAGTCCATACTTGCTACTGAACTGTTACTGAAAGATTTTAATTAATCTAGATTTCAACGAGTTGAAAAGGACAAGGTTTCAGGTCGTTTATGTTTCTGAAACTACACAGGTTTTTGTCAACTCACAGTTTCTCGAAATAACTTTGTGGATATAACTTTTAGTTAAGTAAGTAAATTCATTATCTTTCTAAATTGTTGGTCAGTTCCTCGATTTGGCAAACAAATAATATTTTCCTGTCTCAGTTCTTCGGTGATCAATCATAATTTCTAGAGTTTGAATGAGAGTTGTGCAGTTTTGAAACGTGAACCCATAATCTAAATAAACCATCATTTGGCCTTAATAACACAATGATTATTTATCTATTATCATTTTTCCACGGTTTCGTCATTTGACTCAAATGTGTTTCATGTTGAAATTCAAATATTCAAAATAAATACATTGCAACTTTCAATATCAAGAGGTTTCTTTTTTTCTAAAAGTTGAATTTTAAACAAATTCCGGGGTTTTCTCTCTTAGGTTGTCACACTCTGGTATCGACCACCAGATGTTCTTCTTGGAGCTAAATTATACACAACCTCAATTGATATGTGGTCAGCTGGTTGTATTTTCGCTGAAATGTCCAATGCTGGAAGACCACTTTTTCCTGGTTATGATGTTGATGATCAATTGCAGAGAATTTTTAAGTAAGAACAGAGAAATGAAATTATGTTTTTGTTCAATATGTAGTAACTTTCATTCATTTCTAAATTTTTTCAAGTGTGGAATCCATTCACAATTTTCACCTAATTTTTGGGATTAGGTATTATTAAAACAATTGTCCAAAAACTCAATATATTTTTGTGCTTATTATCAAAATGAAGGTTTGGTCTTGTTGTTTTCATAATTAAAGCATGCTACCTGTGGGACCAAAATCAGTTCATTTGCAACCAGAAACTGTAAAGAGTTTTAAGTGAGTTGGTTTGATTCATTCTCAACAATCAGATGGTAGAGAAGATTTGTAGCTCAGATGGATGTTAATTAAACTTGATCTAATAATTAATAATGTGATTCAATTAAAAATTCTTTGATATTAAATATTAATGATATCAATATTAAAATCAAAAACTTCATCAATTTTCTCATTATGATCCATAGAAGTATATGTTCAGCTAAAATTTAAGTCTTCATACCACTTATCTTGAACTGTTCAACAACAGTTATAACATTAAAAAATATTTAGTCATTTAATCAACTAGTCCCGTAGTAATAGTAATCAACTGATTAGCAAACGTTTTTTGATTATTATCAAGCGAAGTTAGACAAAAATCTTCTTCAATAGTTGAAATCATGAGTCGATTGAAGCTAGAACACCATGGAAAACCTGGAAGCACTGGACGGCCGTTTTGTCCTATTGTTGTACTCATCAGTAGTGCGCATCCATGATGCCGCCTCGCGAGATTCGAACTCAGGACCAACTAATCCATGAAATTGAGCGACACATCCACTATTGTCTACAGTGAGTTACTATCTGACCTTCCAGTGCTTCCAGGTTTTCCATGGTGGTCTAGCTTCAATTGACTCATGATTTCAACCACTGAAATTACTAAAATCTCCACAAAACCCCTTCTAGTAAAAATGTTTTTAATGATAAAGCTGAGTGTAAACTACTTGTTTTAATTAAACAGTTGTCATATTTATAAATTACATCTTCATTATTGTAATGATTTGGTTAGTCGTATGTAAACGATTCTTCCAAATTATTTCCACTCTACTATTGGTTTTTATCATAGATTCAATGAAAAATTTCGTTAGTTTTATTTATTTCTAATGAAAATATTGTTTTATTCCCTCCCCTACCAATATTTCATAAAATCTTACATGTGAGTATGTAGTTTACTCCCGACCATTGTTGCTAACATGACGTGGTGGTCGGGCTTGCCAGTCGTGATGAAGCAATCGAGCTATACTGGCTGGAACAACCGTTCCTCAAGGTCCTACCATGTCAGACAGGTCGATTGGAGAGCGGTAACACTAAAAGCAACAAACCAAGGGTCCGAAGGCGAAGTCGTACTGCTGACTGTACAGAGGTGTGACAGCAATAAGGTGTTTCCTTCAGACAACCATCATGACAGCGATGCTGCCTTCCCACAAGGAGGGGTGGGGTTAGAAAAGGTCGACCCTGAAAATGAGCACCTCGTCTTGTCCCACGGATATCCGTCTCCGGCGGTAAGGTCTCAACAAGTACGGAGCCAACACAAAAATTACTCATAAAAAGGTCGTGTGTGACTGACCTTAAGCAGTTGTCTCTTGGGCACTGCGGTCACGCTCTCAGGTCACTAAGACCACCTTGAATCCGATTTCCTTTTCAGGTACCTCCAGAAGAACCCTTCCACGGTGTAGGCGACCGGGAAGTGATAACCGCCCTCATACCTCTAGCAGTACTCAAGACCACTGTATTCATAATCAACCTCCCTCTTCACTTTCTATTATTCCTCCTACATCGACTTTCAACTCTAAACTTCCTCTTTCGGCTTCCTCCTCAAGTGTCACCATAGCCAACGATTCTAGTGCGCGAAACATTGTCTCAGGTCTACTGAAACCTCGCTCCAAACTACACATTGGAGTCTTCAACGTACGCACCCTATGTCAAATCGGTCAACAGGCTTCCTTGGCTAGAACTCTAGAATCTCGTACCATTGATGTATGCTGTGTCTCTGAAACACGCATACAGGATCCTAGTGTGGTCAGTCGACCTCACCTCGGCAAAACGTAGAGCCAACGAGGTACACCCTCCGTGTATCTAGTGACCCGATGGCTATTTCTCGTGGACTGGCAGGTGTAAGCATAGCACTAAGCATGAGGGCGGAACAAGCACTGTTAAAGTGGATCCCCGTTAACAGTCTCCCATGTTCTGTTCGGCTAAACGGTTCCGTAAGAACTCGGATGTATATGGACACACGTCGTTGCCTTTTTGTCGTTTCTGCCTACGCTCCCACCGACTGCAGCTCAGATGATGTGAAAGATGAATTTTGCAGAAAGCTATCTGAACTTCTTCAGAAAGCTAAACGTCCAGACATAGTACTCGAAGCAGGTGACTTTAGTGTTCAAGTAGGTAGCTGAAACCAAACAGAAAGACATTTAGGTGGGTATTTTAGTATTCCGACACAGCGAACAGATGATGGTGATCGTCTGCTGCAACTGTGCTCAGACAATCGTTTATTTTTAGCAAACACAAATTCTAAGCATAAGGAGAGACATCGTCTAACATGGTGACCCTCTACACCAAACCAACGATGGACTCAAATAGACCATATTGCCATCAGTCATGGTTGGAGAGGGTCGGTAGAAGATTGCCGCTCATTCTGGAGTACCTGCTTGGACTCCGACCAAGCCCCAATACGGGCACACATCTGCTTGCGCCTCACTGGACTCAAAAAAAGCCACAGTACAAAGACCCATTCGAACCGAACTGAGTGGCGAGGAAACCAAAAGTAGGTTCGAGGAACAACTGAGGTCACAATGAGGTAGTTCTGAAAACGAGGTTGACCCAGATGTTGCTTTGAAAGCTATACAAACAGCTGTGGAAACAGCAGTGACATCTCTCAGTGATTTAAACCACACGGTTACAAAGAACCAATGGATTTCCTCAAGGTCTATTGCATTGATGGATTCTCGTAAACTCATCCCATCAGGCTCTGAACACGATGAAGAGCGTAAAGAAATCAGATCTAGGTTAAGCAAAAGTCTGAGGAACGACCGTGAGAAGTGGTGGGCAACGAAAGCAAAAGAGATGGAAAAGGCAGTGGCTATGGGGAACACAAGACAGCTCTACAGACTAATAGAAGAAACTGGAATTAATAAGTCAAGTGTAAGTCAGACTATTTCGGAAAAAGGCGACGCTCATCTGCTCGCAGTCCAGACGTTTAGAACGATGGGCGGAACATTTTAGAGAACAGTTCAGCTGGCCTTCAGCTACTCTACACCTACCCTCCATTCCCAGACAGTGTGAATGGAACATTGAAGTAGGTCTCCCAAATCTAGCAGAAGTTCAAAAGGTTATAGCTAATCTGAAAGGAGAAAGGGCAGGTGGTCCAGATGGATTGGCTCCAGAGGTCTATAAGGATGGTGGTCCAATTTCAGTGATTGATTAGGTTGACTAATATTTTAGCTAAGATCTGGGAGTTGGACGTAATTCCATCTGACTGGCCACAGTCACTGATCGTCCGAATATATAGGAGAGGGTCAAAATCATCCTGTGACAATCAAAGAGGGATTAGTTTAAGTAATATATAGTATCTAAAATACTAGCCTCAATAATTATCGGACGCCTAACTAAGACTCGTGAACTGCAAACACGAGAGAATCAAGCTGGCTTCAGACCTGGTCGTGGCTGCATCGACCACATATTCACCATTCGTCAGGTTCTAGAACATAGGCATACATACCGGCGTCCGACAATGGTGGTCTTTCTTGACTTACGAGCAGCGTTTGACTCAAGTGGTGTCGGTCAAGGCTGTCCACTTTCTCCATTTTTGTTTAATTTCATCATAGACCTACTGATGGAAATAACATTCTCGTCCATTGAATTCTCGGGTATTGATCTCCTTACAGGAGATCCACTTATCGACTTAGAATACGCAGATGACATAGTCCTGTTTGGTGAAGACGCTGACAAAATGCAGAGTCTTTTAGTAGCACTAAGCAGAAAATGCCAGAATGTTTGGAATGCGCTTCTCTCCCTCTAAGTGCAAGTTGTTGCTTCAGGACTGGTCTGCGTCAACACCTGAATTAAGGATAGGGAATGAAGTAGTCGAACACATTGACAAATTCACTTATGTTGGAAGTCTGATCAGCCCTAATGGATTGGTGTCTGACGAAATCTCAGCACGGATTCGAAAAGCTCGTTCGGCTTTTGCCAACTTACGTCAACCACGGAGTAGGCGTGATATCCGTCTATCAATAAAAGGACGAGTATACTGCGTGGCAGTTCGTTCTGTTTTAATTTACGGCAGCGAAACATGGCCACTAAGAGTCGAAGATACCTGTAAGCTACTAGTATTTGACGACAGATGCCTTAGAACTATTGCTGGCATCTGCTGGGATCACGGGTAAGTAATAGTGAGGTTAGACACAGAGTATTAGGGAATGATGGTAAATCAGTTGATGAGGTTGTAAATGTTCATCGACTGAGATGATTGGGCCACGTGTTACGTATGCGTGAACACCGATTACCACGATGTGCAATGCCAACCAGTGTTGGAGATGGTTGGAAGAAAGTTAGGGGCGGCCAAACCAAAACGTGGCATCAGTGCTTGAAGTCACTAACTTGTGGTCTGTGCCATGTTGGTAGATGCAGACTAATTAGTTGGGGTTCGCGTGACTATCGTAACCAATGGTTGGAGACTGTTGGTGATATGGCTCAGAATCGATCACAATCGTGTAAGTGTATACACTCTCTGTCTTCCTTTAAACTAAGAGGATAAAATCGCTTCATATCTTTCTTTCTATGTACTAAATCTTTCTTCCTGTATTATGTTCTTATATGCAATCTTTCTTTTATATATTACCATCATTGAATTAACTACTTCTATGGATCCGGTGTTCATCTTGTTGTGCTAATGAGGTATGGCAACTTGGACCGATGCATATATGTGCCTGGTCCTATGTTGTAGCTGATTGATAGACTGATGTAGTTTACTGCTTACTCTTAACATTTCTTATTGGTCTATTTACATTTCATGGTTTTATTTTGATTAATTTTATTCAACTAGATTATTAGGAACTCCCACTGAATCAACCTGGCCATCTGTTGTTGAATTACCCGACTATGAAGTAAGTATTAATACATGACTTTTCTAAAAAATAATTGTTTTTCTCTATCAAAACATATAATCATTCAACTACAACCTAAAATATTCATCGGAATTATTAAATTGGAACATATTTGCTATGAGACGTTAAAGATGATGTGCGCGTCAATGTTTTGATGTATTAATGAGTGGATTACGCCAACACCAATATAAACACACAGATTATGTATTTTGACTAGAACTTTGACTATGTCCTGATATTGTTCTGTTTCTTGTACAACGAAACTGCAAAACTTAGATTTAGTACAAGTTTCTTGTATAAACAAATCAAACGTTAGGTATTTGACATATATTTTTCACCAACTGATCACTTTATGTTTTGAAACATGAAATTAAAGCCCTTTTTATCTGACGGATATATATATATATATATTTGAAAAAGAATAAATCATATACGCATACATAATAGTTCCAAAGTATATGATTTGATTGTTTAGTGTTTCATCCTGATAAATCGTTATTCCTTACAATGTTTACAATAATTCTGATAATGATTTCTCATTCATTTGAAGATTCTATTTTAATCTTTAAGATTGACATAAACCACGGCATTTAGGTTAAAGTGTAACTATTGTATTCAGAAAAAAACCAATGCATAATCTTCAATTGTCTTGGCAACAGAAACAAGCACCGTGTAATAATTTCTCTATTTTAACTGTGATTACAGTTCATTGAATTTAATTTTCATATTTTCCTAAGACAAGGATTTGTCTTAAAGAGTAACAAAATTCTCTGCATTATTACAGAATTATCAGTCTAATTATTTGCATAAAGTTCCTTCAAAACTTAAGAATATATTTGCAATTTTGCCTTTTAAGTAATTTATTGATCTTTAACGTAAAGTGAAGATTTTCATTTAATTATTTCAAAACAGAATAGAAGTATAACGAATAAATATTTCTTTTCAGTTAGATTGCAATATTCATTCACTTCATTTGTTTTGTTCTTGAGTAAAATATTCTTACTTTTGATTTCTATGTTTAATTTCAAACTAATTAAACTAATTAGTTTGTTTGAAATTGAGTTAAAATCAACAAAATACTATGATGATTGTCAGAATGGGGTTTGTAGAGATTGTAGTAATTTAATAGTTGAATTCATGAGTCGATTTAAGCTAGACCACCATTAAAAACCTCGAAACTCTAGACAGCCGTTTCGTCCTAGTATGGGACTCCTCTCAGCAGTGCGTACCCACGGTTCCGCACGCAAGATTCGAACCCAAGACCAACGGTGTTAATGCCTAGCGTCAACCGGTCCACGATGTCGACTTAATGGTCTGGAGGTTAAGCTTTCTCTCACGAGACCAAAGGCCCTGGGTTCGAGTCTCGCGTGCGGGTTCGTGGTGCGCACTGGTGAGAGGAGTCCCATACTGGGACGAAACGGCCGTCCAGAGTTTCGAGGTTTTTAATGGTGGTCTAGCTTAAATCGACTAATGAATTCAACTGTAAAATACTATGGATTCATTGTATTTTGCTAACATCATCAATTTTACATTGTGTAAATTTGATAAGAAAAACCCTTGTACACGTCAACTTAATTGTTCTTAACTGGCTAATGCAACACGTTAAACAGTGTTTTCCTAGTTTACACCTTGAAAGCCATGTTACAATGTGATTATAAAGGCAATATGTAATGACAGGACAAAGTAACTGTAATAATTGAAGTAATTATTTATCAAAGTTGAAAACATGTTTGCCAACAGTTGCCAAACTGAATTATATCTAATAATAAAAGGTATTTTTGAAGTCAATTTATTAATGTTTACGTACAAAAAGATAATAAAATATTAAAGTTGTGTAAGTTCACAAAAATGAAAGAAATTTAGAAAATTTGAAAAATTAAGCTTACTTGCTCTTGTATGACCTATGTCATTTGGACAAGACTAAGAGTAGGGTTGTATAAACTTCATTCTTGTCGAGAATACTACGTGTATATTCAGTTAATCTTCCGTTTTTTCATCGTAGCGAGTCGCTTTAGCACGAGTCAGGATATTTATTAAGCTCTACTTATATTTGCTTGGTACAGAACTATAGAGATGAGTATATTTGTCTAATTGCACTATCTCTATGTATATTTCTTTTTAATGTTACGTCTAATTGTCTTGTTACTCAAATCTCTAGAAATGCTATGCTATTATTCTATGCTTCTTCAGAAGTAAATGCTATCGAAAATGTTAGGCAAATTGTCATTATTAGTGTTTTTTTCACAGTATAAATGTATCTTTTATGTAAAGACAGTGGAATTTTTGTTGAATTATTGTCTATAAGAGGTCTATTTTTCATTTTTCCAAGAGAAAATTTTGTCAGGAGACGGGATCCAACGATGATCTAATTGCTACACCTTCTACTTGTTTATAGAGTTCATTGTTAAATCGAAAGTTGGCATCCGTCGTACACACAAGAATGAACTCTTATTATACAAACATGAACCAAGGTTTTTATGTTTCTGTCTACTAGTTTACCGTAAATAAAACTCAGTTTTTAGTGTAAAAAATTAGGAAATTGAAGCGATACATTTAATACTCGGAAAAAGTTGTTTTTGATCACCAGTTCTTTTTAAATATTACCAATAAATTTACGGGGGGTTTCCAAATTGCTGTTAAAGGCTTCTTTAAACGGTTTGAGAATTTGTGTGGAATTATTCGTATCTCACAATTGATTGGTCACTGGGTGGTGATCAATCTCATGCTTGTCTAGTCCTTATTAGTGCAGATCGAATGCTATCGATCATGTTGCAATGTGGCCACCAGTCTAGGTGACTCGACACTGCGGGCACTATGTATTGAGATTAGATGGTGGTTGGAGGTAGTCAACAGGAAACCCTGGACCCGGGTTTCGTGCTACTTGGCACTCGTCAGCAAGGTGTACCTGTAATCTTGAGGGAACTGGTGCTCCCTGGCGGATTCGATCTCGTGTCACCCAGCTTCACAGTCAGAGACGTTACCACTGAGCTATCCGAGCCGTGACTAACCTCCTGTAGGACTGAGATGTAATCACAATTGATTGGTCACTGGGTGGTGATCAATCTCATGCTTGTCTAGTCCTTATTATTATTCGTATCTAAAACAGGTCGAAAGGATGTTCCAAAACGACCGGTGAAAACAGCCGCACCCCCACCCTCATCTACCACCCACTCCCACCCAGCCGGATCAACACAACACCCTCAACCACAAACCCACGACGCCCCCACCCGCCCGCCTCCTTTGACATCACCACGAACACCACATGTCGCAGACCTATCACCACACTTTACGGCTACCTCACCCCACTGCCTATTTCTTGCTTACCAAACACCACCACACAACACAACAATAACAACACCTACGACCCAACTGCACCAGCGCCAAAATACAACATTACCACAAAAACACATCATCCTAAGTAACCCTGTCACATCCACTTCACATATCACAGTCATGGAAATATGCCGAGAGCAGGGCAGCATGTTGCAAATACTCAAGTGTCTGGATGACAGTCGCTTACACCTGAACAACAACATTGCGTGTACATTTAAGCAAATCAACACATAAATAAATGTAAAATATCCTCTTCTCAATAAGTCATCGTTTGCAGTTACAAATTACCAACTAACTGTATGACTCAAACACAACTAGTCTTCAATTCATTGTATATCACATTATCATTGTTACCAATACCATTAAAGTTAACAGGCATAAAAACAAAGTCAATGATAAATCATAAAAACTACACGACTACCTCTACCATTACCTACCAGCGCTAACTTATATATCATTAATTTCACCACTCTTATTCACTCACTACGAGCCAACCAGATACATTTACCACTAACTAGCATATGGATCACACGCCTGTAATCAATTAACTTAGGTATAACAAATTTATTATCAAGTCAAATCAAGTCACATTAACAAAACAAAACAGAACACTTACAGTGTAAACGTTTTCCTCACTACATCTCCTGTAGTACTGATTAGTAATGCAATTGTGTCACATACCCACACATATTAGCTACATATTATTATATTTATATATATACATATACATTTATATAAATACAAATAAAAGTGCACATTTCACTCACATCAAACCTACCTAATCACGATGTACAGTTTATTTCATTTACAAAGAAATCTGTCCAACCACAGTTACTACTGCTGCTTCAAGCCACATTCCGGTCATTTACTCAACTAAACTAAACAAGTTACGCAACACTGTCTCAACAAAAAACCAATACAACACATACGTGTATGCACATTCAAATTTTATACACATCACCACACGCCTATTACCTCATCCTCATCAATAATATTTGTCAGTAGTACCTATATCATTATCATTGCAACTATCAGTATTATCATATTGACTACCCATTATTATTATTATTATTATTATTATTATTATTATTACTATTATTACTACTTGTTGTGGATGCGCAGGAATAGACCAATAATTGTCATATTAAGTCCAATGGTGTCCTTGGACTTTAAATGGACATTTTCTATTGGTCGATATCTGTTCGCTTGTGAATATTGTACAAAATGTTGTTTTCTATTTTTATGGCACGATGTGGTTTGTTTGATTGGTATATAAACAAAGTATGTTTGAAATATAATGATTCATATCTCAGAGGCTGTGGCTTGTCTTCTGGACTCAACTAACTGGGCTAGACAGGGAAGCAGGACCAATCAGGGCACTAGGTCGTCCCTTACGTGTTTTCCGTGTCACTCTCACCGAATCGATCAATAAACGCTGCTTATCAAGACCTGCAGTCACACCCGTCATAACAATTGGCGACGGGGTGGAGAAAAATTTTGAACCTTGTAATTGGACGCGATTCAGGCTAATTGTTTCGACCAATCAGCATCCAGATTGTCACCAGCGTCCTTGAGCAACATTGGTCATTATTCCTACAGTTAATTTTCATTGCTGGTACTGAAAAAAAATGACTACCTGTTCCGATCAATTACAGCTTCTACTTGAGCAACAACAGCAGTGCTTCAAAAATAGCCAGTTGAATTTTTTAGAAAATTTACGCACACTGTTGGTAAATTTTCCATGTCTCGGAAATGCAACAGAAGTTGGTAATTTCATTTCTCATCTGCAGACTGAGCTGGAAAACAACTGCAGAACATATGAAGCTGCCTATAAAAGCCTCTGTGAATCCCG